CTCATGACACACTGGTTAAAGGAATATACTGTATTCTGGTTCCCATAAATACACTCTGCACTGCACTGCATTTCTTATTGCTATTGCCCTACTGTGAGCTTTTTCTTTGAGTGGTTGCTTTAATAAACAAGCAATTACTGGAAAATCACTTTCATACCCAACATACTTCCTTTCAAAACTAATAAATCTTTTCCTAACTTTTTGCTGTATTTTTTTTGTTTTACTTGATCCACATCAAGCCACGTGAAAGAAATCATGAATTAATTGATCATTTAGTTGGGTCGATAGTTCTGTTTTGACAGTCTGCATTAAGCAGTAACTAATTGCCCAATTCTAAATGCTTTTAAAAACATATCTAGGAAATCAATAACGCAGTAACTGCATTTTAAACAGAAGAATGAACGCAGCTATGTAGGAGGAAATGGACAGCCGTAACATAGGCATGCTCCACAGCAGTACAATATTCCACTGTTCTTCTCTCTGTGTCTTCGTTCATGTTTGTTTCCTGACAGTCACTTCCGTTTGCACTAGCTAAATCAATAGCTCACACAGTACTTCAGTAGCTGGCAGTCACAGGAGTTGCAGCCTCCTATAGCTCCTTCCTTCAAGTGTAATCACTGAAGTTCATCTCGGATGGAACAGCTGTGAGCTATCAGAGCAAGAAAACGTTCTCTTCACTGCAGCGAATGGTTACCCTGAAAGTCCGATTTCAGTGACCAAGCTTACAGATATATGCATCCTTGGTAACCTGTCCTAACATGTCCTGGGCTTCTTTTTAATTCCTCTACATTCTAATTTCTCATTTTCATTCGTACTTTAGATTCCCCCCCCACCCCCGCTAGTAGAAATTAAAACTATCCTTTTAAAGTGGTGTTTTATGCCAGTGACACCATACAGTTCTAATATCTATTTACTTTTTAAATTTATAATCATCTTATATTGTTGTGTTTGTCCAATACGATTAGTTACCAAATGTTAAATAATATTTCATAATGATTTAATAGTAATATATTGATTTTCAACTACCCCTAATTTTAACCTAAAGTACCGTTAGTATCTAGGCAATTGTGAACCAAAGAGACAGCCCCCAAAGAATCTACCCAGTTTTAAATCAAATGAATAATGGAACAAGATACTTTGAGAGGATTTAGCCATTTCTGGGTAGACATACAGCGAGAAGGGATACAGCCATTACATTACCTGGTGAGTTACTGTATTTGGTCAAAACTCCTAGAGTGAAATCTTGGCCCCACCAAAGTCACTGGGAGTTTTGCTATTGACTTCAGTGGGGCCAGGATTTCACTCTGAGTAGTTATGTAGGCCACACAAATACTTATCTGTATGCTGTAATCTAAAAGCACACCGAGAACAAATTTCTTGAATGCAATTCATTGAAGACCTTGAAGGAATTAACAAATCTCCATAGATGGATATGTAACCCAGCACTGAGTGTGTGCTATGGGTCCCCACCTCTGTGCTGATCCGCAGGGGACATGAGTTGTTATAGCCCCCAGCTACAAAACCTTGTCTTTTTAACTCAAGCTGTAGCAGTTCATGCCCCTAGTTCAATCCTAGACGTGTTGGCCAAGATGGTGGTCATCATATATATTCAACTGGGACCCGATTTGCTACATGCAATTTCATATATTTTAATGAAAGAGAGAGAGAGCCAAAGCATACATAAGCATTTTGGCTTATCATTGTGACGCTCCTCGGTGGCACCCAGATTTGTGAGTTCCTCTCTACCTCCTGCCCTTAACATGAGGAAGTCTTGTCTGTGCCTGTTGTGCTTCAGCAACCTGACTCCACCAGCTTCTGGCAACACAAGCCCTGCATTCCAGCCTTCCACAGGCCTTACTTTCTCTCTACAGATTAGCGACAGTGCTTAATTTGTACCAGGGCTGAGCCCTGGTGTGACACCAACAGCCCCTGGTTGTCAGCGGGCAGGATTGAACCTGGGATCTCTGAAGCTTAGTGCATGAGCCTCTACTGCATGAGCTAAAAGCCACATGGCTGTTAGCTAAGGCTTTAGAGTAGATTCATTAATCTCTTCCTAAGTGGTCTCAGTGCCACTAAATGGGACAGAACACCACACCCAGAAGGTGTGTGAGTTACACCAGCACCTTTAGGCTTGGAAGTCCGTAGCCCCAGCACTTCCGGGCTTGCTGCATCACTTATGAAAGTAAAAAAATTGCTTGAGCCCCAGCGCTGCTTTCATTACAAATTAAGCACTGGTTAATGATAGGCACCACCTAACTCCTGAGTCCTCCAAGCATCCCCTATAATGTCCAGCCCCATATCCACTTGACACTCATAGAATTACTAGCCCTACTGTTCCCAAAGGAACAGGGCACAGCTTCACTTTTTCCATTCCTACATCTTACAATGATTGTGATGACCAGTGTGATGCAAGCTTTCTTTAGAGACCTTACATGACATTCTTTGGCAAACCAATACATGGAGCCCAAACCCAGGGGAGCCCCATAACCCTTATGTATCCTTTGCCCTCTGCCAGTTGGCACAAAGAGATCTCTGGGTCAATCATGTTTGATTAGTGTCACTCCCTGGAGGAATTTTATTCCATACCCCAATAAGTAGCTCATACTGTTCTCTTTGCAGCATGTATTTTTTATCTGAGATTGATATAATATGGATCATCTTCAGTTAATGAGTGATTCAAGATGATTCAGTGCATGTATATTACAATATAAATTAAACCAGTCTTCATTTTATTTGACTGTTTCAGAATCTCACATGTGAGATAATACAACAGCTGGAAATTTCTTCTGCAACAGATTTGGAATTGTCTGCAATAATTTATTAATATTATATGTTGGCCAGTTATTATGTCATCTACTGTGTGCATAGATTGAGTTAATTCTAGACCTGGTCAGCAAATGCTGATTCTCTGACCTAAAATATTTCAATGACTCTATTACAGATTTAACTAAACTTCCTAGTATTCTGGTTCTAGCCAGAGCTCCAGCTGCTGGCAGACTCCTGCCGGAGCCATGGACCCAGAAGTCCTAGTATTTGGAGCTTTTGTACCTTGTCAAAAATGTATTTGCTTTGACTGAGCTTCTTCCTACTGAATACATTGTCCCCTTTGTACTTCTTTTTCCCCCACTCCCACACAAAAAATCATGCTGAGTTTTGGGAAGGACCTGGAGGGTGTGCTTCACAGGGACAATAGGAGATAAATAAACACCACAGAATCTGACAATTTAGAATGTCCTGCCTACATCACAATAGGCAGTTTAGTGGCCAGGGGAAGCTTTTCTGAAATGTCAGTGTGGATACTGCAATCCACCCTCCTTGATGTTCTGCCATCTCCTAGTTCCTGTCTTAGAAGATGCCTAATACATGTGTGAAACGTTGGGGGGGGGGGGTCAGGGGGGGACATGTGCAAGAGAGTTCTTTTGCTCAGGCACAACTTCTGTCCCTCTGCCTGTGCTGTGGGGAAGAGCCTTTGTATCATGAAAGGTTCTCGTGAGATGGCTTTGTTCTCTTGCTTGCTGGAAATGAGCTCTCAGAAAATGAAGTGTGCGGGGGGGGGGCGGGTTCTCCTTGGCCAGCACTATCTCTATCCCACTACCCAACACTCTGAGGATGAGTTCCAAGAGCACAGAGGCTTTCTCCTATGCTGGTAATGGTTGTGTTCCACTACTCCATGCTCACGCCACACTCCATAGTTGGAAAAGATGCCAAGTTCTCTGCTAAGATGTTCTACAAACCAAGATTATTGAAGCAGAATATAGAAGACACAGTATGGCAGTTCTCAAGCCACTCCTGTCCTTACCCTTCACTAAAGCTATCCCTAGAAAACAAATAATATTTAAATATCTTATTTATCAATGTCTGATGTGATAATATGTGTAAATGCATGGGAGCCAGACATCAGGTGCCAGATTCTCAGGTAATGAGCTCATTTAAAAAAATCCATGTTATGATTTTAGGATTATAACCTCTGTGTCCATCTTTCTTTATTATTCATAATGCATCAATTGCCTTCACCATTCCTTTTTATACGATTGACCTTACTGTCCATTACCTTCAGCTCTAGAGTGCTACTCTCAAACCCGGCCTGTCTTTGGGAGATGACTTTTCTGTCAAAAGTACATTAAAAGTGACAGTTGGTAAGAGTGACATGAATATGGTGTGACATGAATTTTTAAACTTGAAAACAGCTGCTTTATGAGATCCTTTACTGTAAGATGCTGTTTTACCAGATTCCCTTGATGCGTTTCAAGTTAAGGGATATTGCTGCATATTTCTACAACACAGCTATACTGAATAGTTTGGAAAAAATTCAGATCCTTCTGAACACTGCAGTATCCAATGGCTCTCAGCTAAAGCAATTCTGAAGGGATAAATTCATCACTGGTATAACTCCATTGACTTCAGTAGGCTTGCATGACAGATGAAAATGGCCCAATATTTCTGTGAAGTCCATTCTTTTCTACTGGCTTCCATTCATGCAGGCAGGGAGTTTGAGAAGTGACTCAAGATCTAGCACCTTCTGACCACAGCCTTTGAAATCAACATGGTTTCAACAAACTTGATAGCATGCTTTGACAAGATTCCACGTGTACTGATAAAGGTAGCTGTGATATTATATACTTAGATTTCTGTAAAACTGCATGAGGTTCTTATTTTAGACATTAACACTATACAACAGGAATATAGCACATATTAAATGGATCAAAAACTGGCTAAACAATAGATCTCAATGTAAGTGTTAATGGGTAGTTATTAATAGTGTTTCTAGTTAGTTCTTACAGGGGCTGGTTCTTGTATCAGTGCTGTTCAATATATTTACTAATGCTATGGAAGAAAATATAAAGCCATTACTGACAGAGTTTGAAAATGGTGTAAAGAATGGTAAATAACAATGAGCACAGGCCACTGTAAAGATAGATGGATTTCTAGGTAAACTGGGTGCAATGAAACATGGGTTTTAATACAGTCAAATGTAAAGGCATACATTAAGGAACAAAGAATGCAGACCATACTTACAGGATGGGGGATTATATTTCTGGAAAGCAGTGACTCTGGGAACGACTATGGGGTCATTGTAGATAACCAAATGCACATGACCTCTTTAAATTAAGATCAGATTTCTGCATAAAACATATGCTTTACTTCAATCACAAGTTATTTTACTCTACGCAAGTGAAATGCTATGGTCTGTAGGAAAGGTCAGACCACATGATCATAATGGTCCCTTCTGGCTTTAAAATATATGCATCTATTAAATTAAATGTGTTATATACAAATCACATGTGATTCAGAACAGGATATTTATTTAGGTGAATCTCTCATTGTAGGCATATTGTAGATATAATCACTGTTTCTATTGGTGTGCGACAAATTGCTATAGTCAATCAAAGAAACTCCCTCAAAAAAGGGAGGAAGGGGGAGACAGTTTACAAAAAAAGCTTAATAAATATACTTTAAAAGGAGCACCACATATTTTTGTTGTTAAGGCAAAGACGCATTGTGTTGCTGTGATCATTTTACTCTGTAGTGTACGGTATAATTCAAGGATTTAGTTTTACTCTCCAGGCTGCGATAAATGAAAATTTAAAAAACATGAAATGATTTACCATGTGAGAAACAATTTCTCATATATACTGTAAAAGAAATGTAACATGATTCCTCCAAAAGGCCTAGAAACAATTGTCCTCACTGCAGAGAAATGTTCAGTAATCGGATGACTGAAAATATATCTATATTTCTGTAAATCAAAACAAAAGTTCTGGAACTAACAAGTTGTGTGAAAAACACCACCATTCTGTCACACTGTTCTCATTGAGTCAGGTCCCCACATTCTTTTTCTGCATGCTCTTGACTGTGTCCCACAGGGGCACAAGGTCTACCTCCTCTGATCCTGCCTTTATGTCCCTGCACAGTAGTGGAGCACCAATGCAGGACCTGCACTCCCCAGAGAGCAAGAAATAAGTCCTCCCTGCACACCCAACAATCAAAGAAGAATCCCTCCCTACTAGCATCCATCTCAGTTTTTACAATGTGTCCCTGAATAATTAGACTTGACCTTGTAAGTATAGTTAGTACTGGCATGGCAATGCATGCAATGGAAGTGGTCAATAAAGCATCACATACCTCAATATAGTCTCAGTTATTAGAATCAAAGGAGTTCTCAAGAACCTGGGGTATAATGGGACCAAAAGGCAGATGTTTCAGACTCAAAGCTCAATGTTAACCCAAAAAAGCAACATCCTCTCCAGCTGCCTGAGAAGCAGGTTTGTTTGACTACAATTGTGTATTTCACATATGTGTTTTCCATTCTTACCTGCAGCAGAATTTCTTTTTTATCCTTCTCAAAGTGAAGCTCAGGAGGGCTGTTTCAATAGCTCTGGCCTGTGAGCAAGAAAGTGACAGATAATTTCCCTCATGTGTCAGAGTCAGAGGATCTTATTGTTTCAGCATTTCTCAACACACGCCCCATCCACTAGGAGGAGTCATACACCTTCTGTCTAATTTCAGTTTCTTCTAGATCCCATATCCTTTATCTTAAATCGTCCAATTTGGTTGCAAAAAGTCACTTAATCTTTTAACAAGTCTTAAAGGTGTTAAGGTTCAATCTGGAGAAGTCATAATATTTCAGTGATCTGCTTTCCCCTGGATACATGCAATCGCAAGGCTGTAAAAAAGTATTAGAGAAAAGCCCCCACCCTCCTAAAGGCAACCCAAATTGTGTTTTGCAGCAGCAGCAAATAATTAAGTTATAGTTTATTTTACTAAAAAAAACCCACCTACTCTGACTTGCTTGCCCAGTTAAACTATCACTCACCTTTATGGCAAAAATAACTGCCTTTGAAGCATCCGATTGTTGCTCGGATTGCAAAAAGTTGCTATTAAATTTACTCTGACTTGGCTGGAAAAATAAGTGCCTTTGAACTATTTAAGCGTACCTGAAAAGCTAACATCTAATCTACCCTTTCTTTAGTCACTTCAGACCTCTGATCACTGACAGACAAGTTCAAGAGGAGTTCAGCTTCATGATCAGAAGTGCTCTTTTTCTTGGTCCCATTCTTTTCTCCTACTGCATGGCTAACATCAACTAGATCATTCCTTCTCCCTTCTGAATAGCAGCCCAGTCTGTTCTATTGCTCAGCTCAGCACCTCTTCCTTCCATACCCTTCTCTCTGACTGGCCACTCAGTATTGCTGGTCAAGCTGCCCCCTTTATTATCTGTCTGGTAGGAAATTGCCCAATTAGTGCTTAGACTTGTCCTGGGCACTGGGAGTTTTCCCAGCTTGTACTTTCAACAGGAGATACTGAGGTACCATAACCACTGCTGCAAGGAAAATGCTGCATTTTAAAGGAACTTTCGGTATCGCTCTGTGACAAAGTGACTCACCAAACACAGCACCCCTTGTGACAAGGAGCAGTGTTGCAGGGTTTCGTCCACTGGTAGTCCCCTTTTGCCTTATGATCTGATCCTCCAGCTGGGTCACCTTTGGCCTCACACCTTGCAGGGTTAACCAGGGTTTTCACCCCATAGTCCTAGGCTCAATTGTCTTTTCTGGCCCCTTGTGTTTGGGATCTTCTGGCTAGTCCTCCTGGTGAGGCTTTAGGGAATGCAGTACCTCCCTCTATGCTGGTTCCAGCCCAAGAACCTGTAGTAAATAACTCTTTCTACAGCACAGTCATCTTCTCCTCAGGGGGATTCATATTCTCAGCAGGAGTTTGCTCCAGGGCCCAGCTCCTAGATTCAGTTCTCAAGGTAACAAAGGAAAAGAAACTAAATTAACAGTAATAAGGAATGGCTTCAGCTTCTCTGTCCCACCCAGATCCTTTAGCTGTCTGTCCTGTTGCTCCGTTCTCACAGGCAACCCAAGGTAGCTTGGTTCTTTGTGATATTCCTCTCTGAAAGCAGGAGGGCAAGAGGTCTGTCCACCTCACCAGGCTTGGACCTTCTGAATTGAGCTTCTCTCTTTTTAAGGCTCCTCCTTCAAGATTGGCAAGCCTCGCAGGAGTGGCAGGGCGAGGGCACAGGAGCCCAAAGCTGCAGTTTAACTCCTTGCCTGGTGCAGAATTTGTACACCCTGTCTCAACCACCAATTTTCAGGGGTGCCAATCTAGCTTCTAATGGCATAATTTGGTGAGGTGTTCAGCACCTTTAATTCCTGTTGTCTTCAGTGGAAGATGAGGGCATTTAAGATTTTGCAAGAGTTACTTAGCATGTCAGAGGATAGTATCCTAAAGTTGCTGAGACAGAATTGTGCACCTGTGTTGAGGGACACATCATTTTGAACAAGTTTTTGTACACCCAAAAAATCTTGTTAGTTCAGATCCAGAGTTTTGGTTGTGTCTCATCTCTGCTCCTTTTCTTTAAAAAATAAAATAAAAAGAGTAATTTAAGAACTAACAGCTGCACTTAGCATTCTCCAAAAAAATTAATCATTTTAATTATTTGCTTAAATGTTTCTTTCTATGTTATCTTTAAGAGTGGAGCTTTTGGAAGAAGGTCTAGTTCCCTAGAGCTTTGGCAGTCAGCCTTCAACAGCCAAAGAGCCCCTCTGTCAAGAGAATCACAGAAATGGTGGTGCAAAAGAATCAAATATATTTACAATACAAAATATGTGTATCAATAGCCATTTCCTGGAAAATGGGTTATGTTCTCTTAGAGAACAACCCGTCAGAACTCTCCCAATAAGAGATGGGGGAGGAAAAATGAGTTCCTTTCTAGCTGCCTGCTCTTGAAATGGCGGCTGGAAAAGCTATTGGAGATCAGAGATTAAAACAAGGCGTTGATTTTTACCCTACAATTTTGGGTGTAGTTTGCAGAAGGGCTATCTCAAATGGAATCCCTAGTGGAGAACATTGATTACTGTAGTTAGAGAAGAGGCCAGATAATTGAATACACTGCAGTTTTTCATGGAGCAGGGTAAAGGAAAAAGGGAAATGATTTATAGTGACTTACGCTGTTTTGGTGTAGTTTATACTGAAAGGCAACATGGTCTAGTAGACTGAACTTGGAGCCAAGATTGTTTAAATTCTATTTCCAGCTCTGACACCGAGTTGCCATATGACCTTGAGCAAGTTGCTTAATCTCTCTGGATCTGTCTACATGCATTTTGGAGCAAGGCTCTCAGCTTGGGTCAATAGACTCAGGCTATTGGGGCTCATACTAGTGCTCTAAAGATACTGTATAGACAGTGCTTTGATGTTGCAGCTTAGACTGGAACTCAGGCTGTGACGTCTAAGTCTAAGTCGCCAGATGTGTAAAACATTGGTCTACATTTTTAAGGTATTTCCTTCAAGCGCTAAGAATAACTGGATTGTGGGGGGGGAGTTCTGGGTATATGCTTCATTACAAGTTAGGCTAAGTTATGATTTTTTAAAAATAGTTATTTTCTTCCTTATTTTATAAAGTCTGTTTCTGTTTAAATTCTATCATTATTTTTTTTGAGACCTCACTCACTTTAAATAGAAATATTTTGTTGCCATGGCAATATTTTTCCCTTTGTAATTCTGTTATTTCAGGTTCACTGCAAACTGCAACTGTATAATCAGAAGTCAAAGATGGAAAAGACATTTTAGATCTTCCCCTCCAATTCCCCTGCCAGTACAGGAATGTTCTTAGTGTAGGATATTTTCACGGTTAGGGTTTTGTCCAGGATATTGTCCGGTTTCATTTCAAATTACTCAAGTTACAGGGCTTCCATCACCTCTTTTGGGAGACAATTTCTCAATTTAAGAGGCCTCCATTGATATTTATTTATTTGTTTTGGGGTTTTTTTGTGATATTCAGCCTGGTTTTCCCTTTCAAGTTTTATGTTGGTTTTCCTAGCTAAATTGGCCATTCTAAATTATTCCTTTTCCAATTTTGGTGATTATCAGTTTTCCAAAAGTTTTAGACAACAGTGTGTCCCTCCTCTGTCAATGTTCAGCCCTCGTGGTGTTATTATTGGGGAGAAGGAGGGCTGGTAGCCTCACTTGTCATTAAGGTTGCTTGACACTTCCCATTATAAAGACCCAGTTTTCAGCTGCTTATAACTTTGTCAAATGTTAACCGTCCTGGGTGAAATTTTCCATGCTGGGTGTCTGCCTCAAGCTAAATTACTTTGGAAAGTTTCAGTAAAAATTATGCATAATTATTATTTAAATAGTAATAGTGTCTAAAGGCCCCCCAAATCACAGCTCCACTGTTCAATGCACTGTAAAAACACATGGCAAAAGACAGACCCTCCCCTGAAAAACTTACATTCTAAATAGATAAGAGAGACAAAGGATAAGAAGAGAATCAGAGGCACAAAGAAATGAAGTGACTTGCTCAAAGTCACACAGCAGCTCCGAGGCCAAACTTGGAACATTACCCCAGTCCCTTGGGTCCCTAGCCAGTGTCAAGTACACACCACTTCTGTTTTCTTCTAGAGCATGAACTCCTTAGCATAGTATTTATTATAGTCATATTGCCTACAATCATACTGTGTTTCTGCAATGAATGTCAGGAGCTGTATCCAGTGGCAGAGGTAATAAAAGGTTGAGGGGAAGACCTCCCCCTGCTGGCAGCGTTTAGGTGTATGTGTGGTGCCTTTTCAAACATATTATACAATTGACAAAAGGAAGCATAGAACATGAATTTTTGCATGGGGCTGGGCAGTGAACCTGTACTGTACTCACCTGGCAGCAGGGGCTCCAGTCCTGCAGGGCTGGACCCAGCTCCCCACTCTGGGCATTACAACATGGTGCAAAGGGTGGCTTGGCACTGTGACACCATGTTGCAATACCAGTCACTCAAATCTGGTCCGGCCGCCCCTTCGTCCTGATGAAACCAGAATGGCACTGTGACCTTATGCCCCAGGTTGCAACATCTGGAGTGAGGAACTGGGCCCAGATCTGTGGGACAGGAGCTGCCACTGCCAGGGGAGCACAGGGTGGGCTCACTCTCCAGCCCCCTACCTCCTGAGCTGAGCCTCCACATTGGGCCAGGATTAGGATTGTGGTGCTGCTGTGGGTAGTTGTTTCTGCCTCACCAGAGCAAGAAGAAAGAGGAGGCGGCAACATTGGAGAAGAAGGAGTGAATCCATTGAATATGGAGACACCACCGATGACCCATAGCTGTTCCCCTCTGCCTCTGGTTGTAAAACCTGGCTCCACTCTTATCAAATATATTTTCTTCACTTATGAACTCCTACCCAAAAGCACTCCTTTAATATGAGGTGATTTACAGTGCTGTGATTAACCTGATACGCAGTGTCACTAGTCTTTTACGAGCTGAAAGGCTTAAGAACATCCTCCTCAGGGAGAGCGGATGAGTGCTGAGTGCTCCTGACAAGCTGACTGGCTGGAAACTATACATGCGTCTCAGTCCTCTAGCATATGGCTATTCTCATTTCATTTGCAGTCCCCCCTCAACCTGTCTGACCCTGAAATTTAGAATCAGACTGGCCAGAAAGGCTATTTCTGCCGAGTCTGGAAGTCTGTAGTTGACTGGTAAATCATGGCCAAAACACATATTTTGAGCATTCTGACATTCATCTCAGCCAGTGCTTTTCCCCCTCTTGGTTCCAGGAACTTAAGAGAAGCCTCCAACAACCACCTGGTCAGCAACTTGCATGTATGAGGGAGTTAGCTTGGAATAACACAGTTGAGAGGCCAAACTTTTAGCAACCTGATATTTTATCCATTTCAGGACAAGATTAATGGAACTGCTTTTAGAATTGTATACTCAAAAGCTTCAATATCCCCTGTCACTTCATACTTTAAGTGGACTACATGCACAGTCTAACTCTTGTGTTGTGCTGTATGTATGCTTTCCTATGGCACAATGCTCTTGTTCTTCCTGGCTCTCCAACTGTCTTGATACCTCACACAAAATTAGTAATTTAGGAAGGAATTCCAATTCCCAACACTCTTAAAGGCTACGAGGCCACAGAATTAATACAGAATTCTTGAGGCTTAACTCTTCTTAACTGATCCTAAATTATGCAGTCAAAGAATTTGCTGGAAAATGTACCATTGCTGCAGAATTGTGCTGCTTTTCTTTATTTATGTTTTTCATAATAGTATTTAGTTTTCATCTAAAAAAAAAAGATTTCTTCTCATGGTTGCAATGAGAACTAAATGTAAAGCAATGCATTCCAAAGATTGTAGATGGTTTGTAACAGTGGTACCAAGGCCATGCCTATGCAACTGGCATGACCTTGGTGGACACACCAAAGGTAGAAACAGGAACCTCCAAGTCTGAAAGCATAAACTTCTGCACCATGAGCTAAAGAGCCCAGGCTCTCTGGCTGGGGCTGTAGCAGACTCAAGATGATCTGTGGAGGGCACAGACATATTTAACACAGATTCCCAGTAGACTACATCTAAACCTAGGAAAAGTAGGTATGTTTTTAAAACATAAACACATTGTAAAATCCTAGCATAAACAGTGTGGGTTGTAGTTTTACCTCAATGTAGCTGGTCACTGAGGTGAAGCCTAGACTCCTTTCACTTCATGGGAGAATGGTCCCCTGTCTCCTTAGAATCATAGGGTTGGAAGGGACCTCAGGAGGATCATCTAGTCCAAACCCTGTGCTTAAAGCAGGACCAATACCCAGACAGATTTTTGCCCCAGATCCCTAAATGGCCCCCTTCAAGGATTGAACTCACCACTCTAGGTTAGCAGGCCAATGCTCAAACCACTGAGCTATCCCTCCCCCCCAGCTACAGACAGCTTTTCCTAGCTCTACTAGGATTTTGTGGGTTAGCTCTCCAGTAAAAACTCACCTACTTCTGCTGGCCCAAGATACATGAACTCTACCCTTTTGTGCTCAATTGGATTAAGTCTGAAACCTAAAGAAAATGTTTTATATGGAGAATCTGTTAAAATATCAGATACTTTCGGGACTGAGTAAGCCAGTCTGTGATGATTTGGAATCACTCAAATCTAAACTGCATGTTTGAATTGTCCCCTCTTTATTGCGTGCACAGTAGCTGGGCATCTGCCGTTACAGGCCATAAGCAGAGGAAGAATTCACAAAGACACTGGAAAAAGGCTATCACTAGTAATCATTCATAAATATTTAAAATCTCACCTAAAAAGACAAATTCACAGAAAAAGGAAGGTGTGTAATTTACTACCACACCCTTGTGGAAAATGGATTCAGAGTAGTGGCCGTGTTAGTCTGTATCAGCAAAAAGAACGAGGAGTACTTGTGGCACCTTAGAGACTAACAAATTTATTTGGGCATAAGCTTTCGTAGGCTACAGCCCACTTGCATGGAGTGGAAAATGCAGTAAGCAGGTATAAATATACAGCACATGAAAAGATGGGAGTTGCCTTACCAAGTTGGGGGTCAGTGCTAACGAGGCTAATTTAATTAGCACTGACCCCCCCCCCCTCCC